GCGTCGCTCCTCTGGGCTTGGGCCTCCTCTTCCCTGAAGGCTTCGGGGGGCTGTTGCTCTGGTTTGGGGGTCTATTTCTTTCTGTGGGTTCTCTTTCAAATACGATCTTAAAAAGCTAGTGACTGCGTCTTCTCATTGAGATGCCCGCTACGTTTCTGGTAACTAACAACTCTTTCTTGAACGTGAGCATAAAGGCTGGTACATGACTAATGCTGCTTTCATTACTGATTTTGTAAAATAACTTTATATACTGTAATTCAATAAAGTTCTCATTTAACTAGGTGCCGAAAATTAATAAGGATTGACAGTGAACTGGCTTAAACACAGCCACTTCTGTAAATTTATGAAAAACGTCCTCACTTGCTTTAAGAAAGTGTTCCCAACAATTTTACTTGGTAAACTTTTTCTACTGATTATTCCTCTATAGTGAATTTTCCAAATACCTTAATAGACTCCTATCACTAAACGTCTATTCACAGCAGCAAATCTTACTCTCATGGGTAGATCTTGAAGTTGATAAAATGAGTCAGTTGATAAGGTAAGCTAAGACTTATCTCTCTGGGACCAGATCCATGGATTGTGTAAACCGACAAGCAGGTATTGAATAGTCTGTGTGGAACAAAACTGTTCCGAGGTGTAGAGCGACTGTCTACTGCATTACTGGAAATAATGGAACGTGTTACAGTTGTCTATACTTTAGGATTTAAAAGGAGAAAAGGAAGGTGCACATATCTTCTGTGTATATCTCGCAAATACAGTGTCATTTAGATGGTGGTCTGATGTCTTTCAGGCAATTTTTGTTAGCCTACACATAAAAGATTTGAGTTATGTGGGGGAGGCATGGAGGGTATGAAGCACCTTCACAGATTTATCCTTAGCACTTGGCTGTTTATGTTACTTCTAAATTACATGTGGTTGGACTATAAGCAGTTCATGTTTGTGGCTACATTGTAAATAGCCTGTGCTTTTAATTTTCTGTTATTGAATTAGATCTTGGCATATCCCATTATTGCAGTGTAATGCAGTGGAAGTTCAGTGGCAGCGGAAGGAAACAATTTTTATCCTAGCGTGGTTGGTAACAACGCTGCTCCAGAAAATCACGTCCTTCTGTGCTTACTAGAAGTGACCGGGCTGCAGAAAATCTACTCTTGCTGCAGTTCAGTGGGAGAGATAGGCAGCTGTCTTCTGCAGCTGGCCCTGCCTGGGAATAAACGTCAAGGAAAATCAACAAGGAAGTGGGTTTATGGCTGGTTACGTTGAACATAGTGAGTACACATGATCATGAAAAAACCTCTTTGCAAGAATGCTCGAATTTTGGTGGACAAATTGATTCTAATGGTAATAATCTGCTTGTGCTTTCATGGGGACGTTTATCTTTAGAGCTCTCCAAGGTGACCTTGCCATTTTGTAGGTGTACCCTTTCAGTCATAGGACAGTCAGAGCGATCTGGCCAAAAAGTTCCACTTAGCTTTAGAAAAATTCAGATGGCTGAAGCCTAAATCACTTAAAGAAGTGAAAAATGGGTTGGTTTCTGACATTCTGGATTGCCATTGCATCTGGATTTTGCAGCCTTTTTTTTGTCTGCTGAGCAGACAAAGTACGGAAACATTGTTTGCTTGTAAGCTCTTGAATTCAAAAGTGACACTTTCAAATCATGCAGGGGATGCCCCAGTACAAGTGAAATACTGTGTGAACTCATCACAGGATAGGTTGGAGGTGTCATTTGGGGGTTGGTGTGCGGCTGGAACTAGTTTATACCAAGCAGGGTCTTCTGTAGATTCAGTCTTTCTTATGTAAAAATACCTGCATGTGAAAACATGAACAGGTAACACCATACGATAACTAATGATTCATTTTATAGATAACAGTGATTCTGTTTAGAGCAGTGAATAAATAGGGCTTAGTTCCTAAGGTTGTCCATCTAGGTATGTGGTGAGGTGCCATAGCTTAGGAAAATGGACTGATAGGACTAACAGATAAAGTAAGATAATTCTAAAAATTAGTGCCCTGAAAGAAAAAAGCTGAATTGAATAATGATATCCTTTAAATCTGGGAAGTGATGTGTGAAAACATGATTTGGCACACAGAGTAAGCCGTAAGGGGAACGTGAGTCTATTACAACTTGGAATCCATAATGTGACTTGGATAGAAGACTGTGAAAATCAGGCGCTGGTTTTATCTTCCTGGCTGAGACCCTTAAGAGTAGCTGAATTTAATGTAAAAAGCACATTGTGTTGGTCTTTACCCCTTGCTTTCCAGGGGCTCTCCTTGCTTTGTTGTAATGCTGCATGGTTTTCTGAGACCGTGGAACTGGTGATTGAAAATGCCCGCTTGCTTGTGTGACTAAAGGCTACTCACAAGTTGGCCTGAAATACATATATGCAATAGTCGTTGAAGACTGTGAATCTCATCACCACTTGTAGAAAGAGCGAATCAGTTAGCAAATACTGAACAAACAGCTGCAGTAGCACGGTACAAACAAGAAAGTTCTGCTTCTTTGCACAGCGTACTGGTTTGGGCTGGGCCTGCACTGCAGATACATTGCCTCTGCTGTAGAGCGTAGGCAGAATAAACATGCCTCTGCCTCAAAAAAAGCTGTACAGATGTGCACAGAATTTCATTACATACAAAAGGAACCTCTTTAAAATTCCGGGTGTAAGTTCCTGTGCTTTCCTGCTCTGTACTGCAAGCTGCCAAAGTTTGCCCTCAAACAGAAAAGACGAGTTTTCATTGTAGCAGTGGTTCTTCCGTTAGTTATCCAGGGGCATGACACCAGAAGCAAAAATAAGTTCTGAAATACTGTGCTCAGTATCTAAGAGCTTCTGGATTAGATGAAAGAAATGCCCATCTAACAGTTTCCCACCATGTGCCAGCTGAAACTGCCGTATGGTTTCCTATCTTAGGTGCTCTTAAGTGCAGCAGGCTAAAATAGTTTAGGTAAACTTCCATGAAAAAGTGTTTTGAATGGGCTTCCTTCTTTTAAAAGAAGAGTGGTATCAGCCTGGAGTCTAGAAAACTAAAGCTATGAAAACTGAAAAACAGGAAACACTAAAAT